CCCAAACTAAGTAGATCTTGGGGTGATGGTGGTGATGATGAATGAGAATTTGGATCTCCAGAGAGGTAGTAAAGGGTGGTTGGAAGGCCGGATGGTGTGGTGGCAGCAAAGGGGTGAAGGTTGCATTCAAGGGAAGGTGAGAAACTGACGAAACAATGAGAAGGTGGGTTGTTCTAGGTGATGGTAGCGGACGAGGGCTGGGCAGAGGCCAAACAACAGGGGAAGCACCATTCTGGATTGTGGCAGCAAGGGAGTGATGTGAGAGCTACCCTGGAAACTCCCATTCCGTGGTCCTGTTATAATGTCAAGCTATAGTACCACGAACCAGACTCAGGAGATGGGTCGTGCGTACATCGCCGACTTGAAGCGAGCTGCTCCCCTTCTATTTTATATCCAATTTTGAGCATGTTTCCTTTAATCCTTCATTCCTTTCTATTCCTTTCCTATATATGTGTTGTATTAAAGTTTGGATTCTCGTTTTTGCATATGTTTTTTGTCGGTACAGCCGTCGGCGTCTTCTTTCTTCATTATAAGGCTATATCCAACTGCAGGTGGTCCTCTGGTTGTAGCTTATTTGTGGTGTTCTCTTTTTCAGGGTTTGTGTGGTGCTTTGGCTGTAGCTTGTTCCTGCGGGGATATTTATCTATGACTTTTCTATCCTCAAAATTCCTCCCTTCGCTGCCCTGCCATTCCCGACTTTCTTCATTGTTGTCCCTGCCATCTTCCTTTTTGTTGCAGCCTTGCCAAGCTTTCCTGTTGCTATTTATCATTATCTTGGTTGCCGTTTTTTGCAATTCCTACCCCTGAGAACGCCTTCCCTGCCCTCTTCGCTGTCATCTTTGTTCCAACCCTCCACCTTTTTCTACTGCCACCTAAAAGTCGTTCATTGTCTTATCGTTGTCCGACAATCATACGTTGATGTCTGACAAATTCAGCTAATTCTATATTTTAAGTTAAATTTTATATTATTTAAAAAAAAATTTATATTACATATTTTTTAGTATTTAAATTTTAGTTTTATCGTAAGAATGATATTTTTAGTTTGAATTATATTTAAAATTTTTTTAAATCGAAATATCACTAAAAAAAATTCTTATAAATAATTGTGTTATATTCGAACTAAAATATAGAATCAACTGAATTTGCAGAAGATTTTTTTTTTGTAAGTTATTTAAAATTTTCTTATTTACTATTCTTGAGGACAGGTAAATACTATGTGCTCTTCTATAAAAGGAACTTGATAATGAATAAATAAGTTCTATGTAATAAATTTTGGATAATTTTTACTTTTATCTTTAAGGTAAAAAGCAAATAAATATTCTATAAAATAAAACTAAATATTGATTAATTAATTTTTAAATATATTTTTTATTTTTAAACCTTATTAACGTGCATGTGTGCATGTCAGCCACGGGTTTTCTTTTTTCAACTAGTGCTTTTAGTTTGACATTGTTAGCATTGTATGGTACTGGGGAAAAATATGTTCCTAGGAGTAATTGGGTAATAAGGCCATGGAAAATAATAACCTATAAGGCTACATGTTAGAAATAATGTCATAAGAGTTACATAGTTCAGTGATCAGGAGATCCGTCTGCATCGATGGCAGTGCAAAGAAATGCTTCCACTACTTGAGATATGAATAAAAGATGCAATATTTGCACACTCTAATCATTTGCCATTTTATCTCGTTAGTTAATCTCTCTTTCTCTCTCTTTTCTCTCTCATTCCTTGATTTGTTTCAACTATAGGAAATATTGAACCGCCAATTCAATAGTGCCCAACACAATATTGTCAGGCATCAAATCTCTTAGCAGCTACCTCATCAGCTGTAACCAGCCCTTGTATCACTTACCCTCAACTTCTAAACATTGTTGTTAATGTTTTCAAGCTATTTTAGCTAGCTTTCCAAACCTCTTAGGGGCCACTTCATTTAGCTTTCCCCAAAGATATGGACACCCTTGTACCCGAACAAATACGAATTAAAATCAATTTCCTTTTTGGTCTGAGTATCTCTTTCTAGATAGTAAAGGTTAATACAGAGTCATATTAGTTATTTACAGATTATACAATCAAAATTTGAACTATCCAATGCTGAAAGAGGCATCATCCTTGTGAAACCAACAATACTTCATGTCAATTAATAAAAAACCTATTAGAAAATTTTAGTCAAACTTAATCTTATTGACTAGTTATTCCTTGATCTTGGAACAACATTTGCCTCACAGCGCCCTCCTATTCTTAAGCAGTTCCATTTGGTAGAAATTTTATCCCACACTGCCTATTTGTGATCACTAGCTGTAGCTTTCAGTGTTGATCCTACTATTTTGGTATTTGACGTTCTATATATGGTATTAACCTTGCCTCCATATGCTATAACCGCAACACCTGTGGCTTCCTTGTAAGAAACATTACAAAAGTTTGCAATGTAACACACTAGTTGTACCTATTCAATCGATATTGGCTCTTCTTCTATGTAGGAATGTTCCTTACATTTTGATACTTCTAATTACAATCTTAGATTGTACATCACTAACTCCGACACTCAATGTTTCATCATCAATAAGATGAAACTTCCCATAATATTTTGTGCATATATTTAGCTATAAGTTTTTTTATGTGGAGTCATATGAAAAGGCACTCCCAAGTCTAAGATTCGGGATTCTATAAGGCTATTCACACTGTGAATCAATTTATCTTGTAATGTTTATGATTGACCCCAAATGATTTAAACTTTGCCCACCCGTGCTCGGTGATTAGCCTTTTTTTCATGTGATTAGTCCTGTCACATCACCAACTTGCACCACTAAGGAATTTTGATTGTCTTCTCAATTGAGATTTATTTTTCTTTATTTTTGCTTCTCCTTGACACTCCGTCATCTACTCTAGATATTCAAAGCAATAGAAGAGAAGCATTTCTTAATTCTCATATTTTGTTGGTGTTTGACGTTCTATATATGGTATTATCCTTGCCTCCATATGTATAACCACAACACCCGTGGTTACCTTCTAAGAAGCATTACAAAAGTATGCAATGCAACATGCTTGTTCTACCTTCTCAATCAATATTAGGTTCTTCTAGCTAAGAATGTCCCTTACATTTTGATGCTTCCCTATTACAATTTTAGATTTGTACATCACTAACTCCAACACTCAATGTTTCATCATCAATAACATGAACTTTCCGGTAGTTTTTTTTGCAAAGATCTAGCTATAATTTTTTTTATGTGGAGTCAAATGAAAAGACACTCTTAAGTCTAAGTTCCGGGATTGTACAAAACTATCTACACTAAGAATCAATTTATCTTTACTTGTCACGTTTATAATTTACTCCAAATGTTGTAAACTTTGTCCACCCGTGCTCTGTGATTAACCTTCTTTGTTCATATGATTAGTCTTTTCACATCGCAAACTTGCACTGCTATGAGCTTTGAATTGTCTTCTCAATTGAGATTTGTCTTTCTTCATTTTTGCTTCTCTTGACACTTTTTCATGTACTCTAAAAATTCAATGCAATGAAAGAGAACCATTGCTTGATTCTCATATTTTGCTGCCCGGTGCTTGACATTCTCTATATGTTATTATCCTTGCCTCCATATGCTATAACCACAACACCGGTGGTTACCTTCTAAGAATCATTCCATAATCTTGCAATGTAACATTCTTGTTCTACCTATTCAATCGATATCAGGCTCTTCTTCTATATTGGAATGTGCCTTACATTTTGCTGCTTCCCTATCTCTTAGATTTGTACATGCCTAACTCCAACACTCAATGTTTCAACATAAAAAAGATGAACCTTCCTGTATTTTTTTGTGCATAGATTCAGCCAATTTTATGTGAAGTCAAATGAGAAGGCACTCTCAAGTCTAAAGTTTGGGATTCCTTAAGACTATTCACACTAAAAATTAATATATATTTACTTGTAACGTTTATAATTTTTTTTCCAAATGATTTAAACTTTGTCCAGCTGTGCTTTGTGATTAGCCTTTCTTTTCATGTGATTAGTCTTGCACATCGCCAGCTTGCACCACTATGAACTTTGGATTCTTCTCAATTGAGATTTGATTGACTTCATTTTTGCTTCTCTTAACACCTCTTCATTTATTCTAGAGATTTAAATTAATAAAAATGAACAATTGCTTAATTCTCATTTTTTGATGCCCGAGCCATGATAGTTTTGGACATCATTGAATTTAATCTTTGTTGACGTACATGAATTGCTGACTACCATCATAATTCAAACTCAGCTTTCTGTTACTGAGGAAAACAAACTCAAATGCACAAACTTCATCTTAGCTCGGCTGATCTTAGTTGAATTATGAACAGATTGAACTTGTTGATATGGATTGCTATAGAAAAGCCTCTAGTCTTTTTGGGATTTAAAAACTCTCATTAGATGTATGCTATCTATTGATCAAAGTTTGCCGTATATCTATGAAAGCTTTTAGTACTCCAACTGTGGTCTGCTTATGTAATTTATCGAGGGAAATGTTCTTCGTTTGTGACAAGTGTATAACTATATACACTTGATGCTTATCTCTTCTTGATTGATGGTACTAGCACTCGACTCTAAAAAGATAGATCAACTTTCTATAGCGTCTTCCAATACTCAAAATCCTGTCATCGAATTTCTCGACCATCCCCTTCTCATCTTTTTATGCCATTGCTCCCATTTTTCTTGTAGAAATTTGAGAGCTTGTTTTGATTCCAATTGTTGGGGAAAATGCATGCTTGAGGAAATTGAGGGGAACAATAACCTCCAAGGATATACTTTAGAAAACAAGGAACAATTGACTCCTCTTCATGCAAAACTTGTTAGCTTCATATTTAATTTGATGCAAATGCCCATATCTGCACTGACGATTTTTTCTTCATTAAATTGTGTTGGTGCTTCTGGTGTCAGGTATTTTTTTTGTTAAGAATATTGGTAATAATTTAAACATCCACAAATTATATTTTGTAGCAATAATTTTTGTGAAAGTCTTGATATCTTCTGTCAGATCAATGGCGAGCAATCATGGCTGAGTGGTGAAAGTGCCTTGGCCCATTTTGAAGCTCTTATGTTTGAGGATAAAGAACAGGTTGTTTTATGTATAACTATTGCTTATCCAATGATATTCTTTTTTAATGCTAAGAGATTTGTTCTGAGTAGAAACATTTTTTGTAACATCGTTCCTTTTGACCACCCAGATTCTCTCAGATTTCAACAAGGATTCAATACTCTTGGGGGAGAAAGACAAGGATGATAATGATGTACCTCTGGGGAAGATGATGAAATTACTTAAATCCCATGGAACTAAAAAGAAAAAAACAAAAACACAAACTTCAACTTTTGAAATGAAAAGGAATGATGAAGAGGTTGATGTTCTTGGCATGGTGCGAGAAATCAATTTAGACACCATAAAAGCAGCTAAGGGTATGGAAAATAGTAGTCAAAAAAGAAAACTAAGCGATGCGACTAACAGTATTATTCCTCCAACTCCTAAACGGAAAAGGTCGAGCACTATTCACAGCTCACCCTCTTCAAACCGGGACATGAAGCAACATGTTTCCTCGGTAGAATCAGAATTGTTGCGTTCATCTTTACCAAAAATACAAAGCACATCCAGGCGTGGAGAGAAAAAAGGAGTACATAGTGGAGAAACTATCATTAATGACGTGAAGGTGAAGGCTATTATTTGTATTCAGTATTATCTGATGATTATTCTATGATATGGTTTTAATGATATTTTGCTTCAAAATGTATACTTTTTTCAGAATCATTCAATCTTAGAAGGCTCTGACAAGAAAGGTAGTGGCGGTTCTGCAAAAAAACGCAAAGTTAGAAGTATTTCTGGCTTGTCTAAGGTATTGATTTACTCATTTTCTATTTGGAAATAGAAAATCATGGATGGTTTTTTTTTTTTTTCTTAGCACAAGTCGTTGTGAAATAGTAGATATGGTCCTCCGTTGTTACTCTATGGTACCTCTTTTTGGACTTTATTTATGATACTTTTATACTGTGTTCCAGCATTGCGCTATTCATTGTGTTGCTCGTTACACAGCTGAATAAAGAATACAAAAATGCACATTTTAAACTTCAATAATATAATGCAAATATTTTATATATTGTAGTGCAAGTTTATATTTAAATTTCTAGTAAATAATCCATATTTGTTTTTATTTTAAATTCAAGAATAAAATCTGTATAATGCAAATACTTATCGCATCACTATAATATACATCTATTATTTTACTTACTACGCTTGTTACTTCTGGAATTCAACATTAATATGCATTTGCACATCTGATCTCATCCGTATGTATAAGACCGATTGAATTCTCTTGAGAAACATCTAATTAATTTTTTGGACCTTGTCCATAGCAAGGAGTAATAACAGGGAAATTCTTATCAAGGTCTAAATGTTTCCTGAAAGGTGCTTAAAATGATAAATATGTAAGACTAAAGAGACACTTTGTAGAGGACCATCATGGGGTTTTGCCAAATAAATATCTGATTTTCAGGGAAATATAAACTTAAAAAAATGTATTTGTGGGGAGTTGTATTTTATTCTAAAACATGACTTAACTAATTCTTCCACATTTTCAGTGTTCATCAAAGAAGACTCAGCTGAATGGAAAACTGGTTGGATCTAGAATTAAAGTTTGGTGGCCTTTAGATAAGACGTAAGTATTTTAATTAGCTACTTCTATTTCTAAAGCTACAAACACACACACACACACACACACACACACACACACACACATATATATATATGAAATAAATTTGCATCAATTTTGTTTTGTCTTGTTCAATATAAATTAGTTTAAATGGAAATATGGTTGTATCATTTTTAAAAAATTCTTGCTGTTAATATACAGACTGATAGGTCTTATGTCACTGTCTTTCTAAGGATTACTAATTTGTTCTTGTATTTCCAAACTTCAAACAGGTTCTACGAAGGTGTGGTGCATTCCTATGATCCAGGGAACAAAAAACACAGTGTAAGCTTATTTATTGAACTCTTCTCCTTCTGCATTGCAGTTAAAGATGTGAATGTAACTTGATATGGTTGGTAGTGTCTATCGATTTATCCTTAAAAAAAATGCAAGTATAGGATCACTAACCAATCTAATAGGGGCTGTTACACTAGTCTATGAGAGAGAGAGAGAGAGAGAGATTTTTCTTACTATTTTGTTTTGATTTATTTCTTAATCATGCAAATTCAAATTGGAAAATCAAGCTCATTTAGGGGTTCAACTCAACATATTAAACTTTACCCATAAAAACTAGTATGATAGTAAATATCATAAATTTTTTAAATGATTTGACCATGAATCAAATACCGGAAAAGAACACCTTGGTTGGTGGATTATACAGTCAGACAGATTATCCATTAATTTCTTGAATTCTAAGATGTTTTGATCTTGTATAAAGTATGAAAGAAACAACACCCTAAAGGATTTCTTAGCGAGATGAATGATTCATTATTTTCATATTGCAGGATTATTCAAATCACATAGAAATTTGTGATCATACTTAACAAGCATCTAGAATAATTCTAATGATTTTGCATTAAAGATTATTCTAAAGTATTCTTAGAGTAGGGCTAGCTCCTCTATTTCTTCATCAAGTTTGATAATTATACAAATTTTCATAAAAATTTATCAAATTAGATCAAGCTTTTTTTAAATTGTAGGTTATAATTAACTTAATCTTGCATTTGGAGGTAGCAATTTAGAGAAGTAATTGTGTTTAGAATGAATTTTGCCCACTTAATAGGATAGAATAAATCCCATAAATAAATAAATAAATAAATGTATATGTATAGTTCTATTCAGTTCAAACCCAATTTATTCGAGTTCTATCTGAGGTTTATCATGTTTTTTAATAGGGTCATATTCATCTTGATCTGAGTCTGATCCTGCCAAAAAATGTGTGCACTTTTTTAATGATATTCAAACTTTGAGCTAAATTATTTGCTCTGCTGTCTGGAGTCTTTGTATGTACATATGACCTTATCTAAGCTACAGGCTGATTCTTTTTTTCTTATTGGTCTGCAATTTTCGAGCAAAATCATTGGCCCTGTAGTTTTGATTCACTACTTTTTGGAGCAACTTTTTTTTGTTGGTTTCATGTGCTGTCCTGCTTTTTACATGGATGAATCATCTATCTTTGGTTAATGTTGGCAGAGTAAAATAGCTGTTTTTTAGGACCTGACAGCCATGAATGTGGTTATAAGTACTTACTTTTGTCTAATTAGACAAGTAGACCCTCAACTGAGAGTATCCAGTCAGAGGTCTTCACTATGAACAATTATGAAAATCTTGTTTTTTTTTTTTTTTTTTGGACTATTTCAGTCGAGCAGTTATATTATGTTTCACTTCATCGTTAACCAATCCTTTTCATTTTCCAACTGAGCTTAACATCCCTTATTTCAGTTCTTATTGGTGTAATGGTTTTTCTCTTCTAGTTTTCATGCAAGCTTTCCACATTAACACCTTGTAGTTTACTTTGCAGATTTTGTACGATGATGGTGATGTTGAAGTGCTTCAACTGGAAAGGGAGAAATGGGAGCATATACCAAATGGCTGCACTCCTAAAAAAGTATGACCATTCTATTTTTATTGCACTTGTTGATCATTGTTTTCCTTCTACTTTTGCTTATTTGCTACTTGACTGAAATTTATGCAAATGCTAATTTATTACATTTTGGTTGTTACAGCGATCCAAAAGTCACCAGTCCTCATCACATGAACAACTGTGAGCATCTTTCTATACCGCTATTTTATTGACTTTTTCTTTTTTAGACACGTGGGATGTTTTCTGACATATTTTGGACATCCTTTTGACACACTGAGTACATTCTGAACATAATTTTCACATAGTTCATTTTAGCCAGGTTGCATCTTATTTTAATCCTATTTTCATTTATATCTTTTATTGTCTGCCTTTTACTCTTTTATAATTACATACTCATGGGCTATGCGCCTCATATTTTGCAATTTTTTAATCATTTTTTATTTTAATGGACGTACTGCCATTTTTAGTTAATTTAAACTCAAAACATGATACTAAATTGTTGAGACAAGGCATATGATAATGATAATGATGATGATGATATCCATACAAGGATTTTAGCTCTTTTTCTGATTTTACTTTTCATGCAGCCTACAATCATGGAAAATAAATTTTCAGTATGTTTTGATACGTCTTTTATAGTAAGATGATAAATTAAGAAACTAATAAAATGTGAAATGCAATTATTCAATATTAGAAGACAGATAAATCCACTAAGGATACAGAACATGGTTCCTAGGTTATTTCTATGTTTCTTTAAATGTTTACGAGTTTTAAACATTTGTATTCTTTGTTTTAGTATTGTTTTCTTATCCTTGTGAAAAATGCATCAACATATCTTGATTTAAAGTTTTCCTCTTAATTTTCTCTTTCTACTACTTTTTTTTTTTCGGACATCTTGCTCTCTTTTACAATTCTAATTATCATTCTCCTCAAGTCCGTCTCTACCCATTCGTTAATCTTTTCTTATATTTCTCTTTAATGCCTTGCATGTCCCATTCTATGAACCGGTCTATTTTTCTTTTTGAATCCAGTGTTTAGTTTAACATAACAATTTTTTAATCAACAACAACAACAAGCCTTTGTTCCATTAAGTGGGGAACAACAACAGCAATTTTTTAATATTTGATTTATTTCATATTTATTCATTTTTATCTAGATTCATACTTTTACCTTACTTAAGCTGCAAGCCTTAACACCCATCTTCTTGTCATTTTTGGTGTCGTAATATCCTTGCTTTACTTTTAATATTCTTGTGGTAAAATAGAATATGTAAAATGACCAGTCCATCATAATCAATTTTGGAAAATTCTCTCTTATTTTATTTCATTGCTACTGAAGTTCGCTCGACATAAATGATGATAGCATCGACTATGATTCTCAAGGAAATAAGAAGCCTACGAAGAGGTAAAAGCATCAACTTATGTTGGAAGCTTCTGCAGTAAAACTTCAATTTTTAAAATATTTTATTGGCTATTCAGGTCAGCTGGTTCTAATCATGGAGGAAGACATGTCTCAGGAAAAGGTTCTCAGTCTAATGTCAGAAGAGTACCCAAAAATGATGTCTATGCAGACAAGAGTAAGATGGATATTAAGCGTGATTCAGAGGTTCCAGATGCTCATCCTCATTCTGGATCAGAGATTGATGATGTCAATTTAGGTAAATAGTTCAAATTTAGTGTCTTTCCTGTTTTCTGGAATGGATTAGAGTTTCAAAGCACCATCTTCACTATTTGTTCTTTAATTTTAATTTAGGTTGTGGTAAAATTGACTTGTGTCTCAGCAAATTATATTGTATACTTGATGTTAACATTTGTATTTTTCTTGAATAGATGATAATTTCAATAGTAGTGAAGGTAAACCTTCTTTTAAAATTGAATGTTTGTGGGGATATTTGCAAATTAGTAGATAGGTTAGCAGCTTCAACCGTTGGTAGGTTTGTTCTTGAATTTAGAGTTGAGCTATCTTGAGTTTCTCAGATCCCTTCCGTCAAGATGCTTGTTTTAACCATAAGCACACAAAACATAATGGACATTTGACGCCTCAAATGATTTTGAGAAGTTTTCAATTATGTTTTCTTGTGTTGATTTTGGCCATTTGGCTGAGATCCAAGTGTTCTTATTATTGTTGGGTTCTGGTTTGTCTTGCCAATTCGCATTGTCTCAACTATATGTTTGCTGAAATAATGTTTAAATGACCTCAAAATTAGTTTTAAAAATTTAAACCTAAGATTCCGGTGCTTTCAAGGCAAGAAAATTATGTTTAAAATAGGTTATTCATCAAAAATGAATTTTTCTGAGATGCATCAAGATTAATGTTTGCAAAAGGCCTTTGTTGAATTTTTTCTTTTAATCAAATTATGCACTGGGTTTTTGGTACTCTACATGAAAGTTGAGGCTTTGACACTGTAGCCATTTTATGCTGCCTTTGGCTGCATTAAATGAGTTAATTTACTTTATCGTATTAAATCAATTTTTTCTTGCTCTTGTTTTTGTTTACGTATTTATTGTAATTATTTTGTCCAACTACTTAATCATTTAGTAATTTAAATATTTTCTATTCTAATTAACGTTCAGTAATAGTTTATTTTTCAAGTTTGAATTATTTTTGAAGTAATTTCACTCTTTATGCTATTCTATAATTTTTTGTAACTAATTTATAATTGACTCAATAATTACAGTAGTAGGTAGTAGTCAAGAAAAAAAACGACATTTTTTTTTGAAACTGTTGGATTATTGTTGGATTATTGCTGTCTTAGGCAGTGTTTTGCACACTCTTTATCTTGTGCATGCTGAAGACTCCTAGCTAGGAATTTATATAGGTACAGTGTTCTTTTCTTTTCTTTTTTTTTTCTTTTGCTGGATGGATCAAATTATGGTTAATTTTAGAATTTTCTTTAGGTAAGTGTGCTTTTGAAAACGTGGATATATAAAAATTTAGATTTAACTAAACATCCTTGGAAATATTTGGGAGTCTTTTGGTGACAATTCTTTAGCTATTCAAGAAAAGGAACATTAAAATGCAGTAAATTTTTTTTGGTGGCATTTACATACATACCACCCAATTTATATGTATTTGCATATCTAAAATCTAGACTTCATTTTTTACATTTATACCACCCACTTCTATCACATCAAATACACCACAAGTTTAGGTGTTAAATTTCTAAATACATGTAATTAAGTGGTATGCTTGTAAATCTTCCTTTTTTATAATTTATTATCTTGTATCGTTCATGTAAAGCTTTATGAAGAGATTAGTCTTTTATGGCTGTATTTATTAGAAAAGGACACAAATAGAGAGAGGAAGTGTCTTTTATGATACCAGTGCTGACATGTTCATCTTCTTGTTGTATGTGTGCTTTCTCGCTGATTCTGTCGGGATCCAAGACTAAAAAACTGTACAAGTCTGCCTTGTAATAGTCTGTTTTCTTGCGCTACTTTTAGTTTTTAAACTTCTAACATTATTTGTGTAAAAGCCTCAATCAAAGGATAAATTATGTACTGATATAACACTTACATGTATCATCTAGACTAGCCAACCTGCACAATTTTGAAGCATTTATAATTCCATTTTTTTATTTAATTTATTTTTTGTTTCTGAAGAATTGGAGGTAAAAGAATCATATAGTCCAACCGAAATAGACGACAAAACCAAAGCGAACACATTGGAGTTGCCCAAAGAATCAATGAAAAAGATCGCGGATGTTCTCCATTTGAAAACCATGGAAGACTCAGACGACGAACCCCTCGTAAAACATCTTAATCTCTTCATCTATAAGTGCATTCTTTCTTGCTCTTGGCTGCTTTCCTCATTCTATGTATTGTAAATGTTTCAGAGTTTGTGGAAGCAGCGTGCTGGTAAAACCGGTTGAGAAAAAAAAAGGTAAGTTTTCACTTCTCTGTTCAACCATGCAGTTCTCAGTTTCTGCAGAATATCGTTGATGAATGGAAACATTGGAATTGTAGTTTTCGTCTCAGTATTAGTGTAGCAGATTCATTTTTCTATGCACTGAATGAGTAAGTAAGTTAACTATAGATGTGGATTGTTGTTTTTTTTTTTCTGCCAAATGAGAGAAGTTTTAGGATTGAAAATAATTAGGTTAGTATATCAGCATAAGTGTATTGTTCTCCTCTGATTAACTTATCCAATTAGTTTGTATTATTACAGTTTTAAGAAACACTTGAAAGTAATTTAGTCGTTTCTATTTTTTTTTTCGTGCTCTGTTTTCAGATGTTTTTCAATCACTCTGATTAGCTGTTTAATCATAAATAAGTATTTGGGTTTGTTAAAGAGACGTTAAAGATTGATCAATCCATGTTGTTCACTTTCTTAACTGGGGCATTTATATATGTACCACACAATTCTTATGTATTTACATACCTGACACCTAAACTTTCATTTTTACTCGCATAACGCTCTAATTTTTAATATCATATGAAAAATAGTGCTCCTACGAAGGGTTCGTTTGGGGCAGCTTATTTGGTGCAGTGGCGTTTTGAAAACGCACCTGACCTGTTTAGGTAAATTGCGTTTTGATAGATTATGCGTTTTCAAAACGCTGAAAACAGCGTTTTCACACCACACCTATTTAGGTGCGATGACAGCTTTCCGGTAGTGGTCTGGCTTTTCTAAAAAAATAAAAATTTGTACTAGCCACCGCATCTAGCTTATGAACAGATTATTTTTAATCCGCTTATTAACGAATTATTCAATAAGCTTCAGCTGAAATGCAACTTTTCATGCAAAGATTTGTGGCACCAAAATCTTCTAAATGTAAATATCAAAATACAAAGGAAATGTGTGGTATGTAAATATCCTTAGCTCTTTTGTTTTCCTTTCTTAAAAGATTCCTCCTTAATTTGTTATGGTATTTAGCTACTTCTTTCATCTGATGCCTACATTGGCTAGACTTCATTGATCCGCATGTTCTAATCAAAGTTTTTGACTTCATTTTTCACATGACAATAACTAATGTTAGGTTTTTTGCATCCTCCAACCTTTAAAAATTCATGAATTTCCTACATGTTATCGTGACATCAATGTAATCAAGAGAAATGGATTATCCAGAAGGAATGACTTGTTGCAACATCACAAATTTGAGGATTTTCAAAACATGAACATTTTTTATGGACATATTTTTTGTTGAATGACTTCATTATGGTCATTCATAAGGAAACTTATTTTAGATAAAAATAGCTATGAATAGTGATGAATGGGCACTTTATCCTTTGAAATTTGAGAGGATTATTTGGAGGGATCTGTCAATCATTAATATTATAAAACCAATATACTGAACTCAAATGTTTAGACCTCTTGAGTTTATCTTGTAAATTCAACTTTTATGATTATAAATATTATATAGAAATTAGTCAAATGCCATTGTGTGGATACAAAAGAAATGCCACGACCACATTGTGAGAAGCAAACCAAATCAAAAGAGCAAGCAACAAAAAAATTTAAATTTTGAAATGTAATAAACTCATCTGAAATTGAGAGGTATTTTATTAGCATATTTTGATACTAAAAATTTTAAAATTTGAAATTTAATAAATTCATCTAAAATTGAGAGGTATTTTATTTTTATATTTTGATAAAAAATTATAAGATATCATATATTATTAATTAGCCCCAAAACTTGTTTTGAAATCTTAATTACTTTTTGTTTATAAGATTTGTCTAGTCATTTATTGTTTATGGTCTCACACCATCTAAGTAAGAGCTTGTAAAAGAATGAGAATGAAGAGGAAGAACTAAATCATCAAGTGTATAGTGTGATTCACAGAATCCCTTATTCGTTGGGTCACCTTTACTATTTATATGTTTGGATTGGCCCAACGGCTACTACATAGATGGCTACACTAAAAAGGAAAAACATATTGAAATGATACAATGATGTAGCTAAATGTCTAGCATAGTGGGTTACATAAATTAGTCCGACTATGAAACAAGTTGATGAAGTCATCTTGACATGCGAGTTAGCCCACCAAACTAATTTATCAAACTTGTTGGATAACTTGATCCACCAAATTAGTTTGTCGAACTAGTTGGACAAACTGATTGGCCCAATATGTCAGATTAGGAAATTTATGAAGTTATCATGCCGAGCCGGTCAAAGTTGGATGTTGCAATGTGTTTTGTTTGAATATGCTCAAAATTTTGGTTAGATCTTAATCCTTAATCACATGTCAAGTGTTGTTTAATTTCTTGAACACAATAAAAGAGAATTCAATTATACAATATTATTTAAACAAATATGATTCAACATTTTAATTTGAATGGGTCTTTAAAATTTTATTTGGTCTTCTCAAACATTTAATGGACCTCCACAAATCTTGCAAATCTCCACAGATCTCTTAACAAGTCTTTATTAATCTCTTATTGATACTTGCTAACATTTATTCAACATATTCATTAATGTTGTTATGGATTTTCGTTCAAGCTTTCGTACTTGCCATTGTTTTTTTTTTTTTATCAACAATCTTTATTTAGAATGCGTATATAAAAAATATGATAGCACTGATCTGAGGAGATCTAACAATTCATAAGAGAAGAGTACAACGAAGGGCCAACTAACAAAAGATCATGAGACCTACTTGTCAGGCAGAATGAAGTTGTCTGAGCCAAGCTAGCAAAACCAAAGCTGACTGAGCCACGAAGCAGACAATAAGTCAATCATATAACTCAAGCTAGAGCCATTTGATCAAACACGAGGCGAAAGAACATCCGAACCAGCTGCTACTGGAAACACAATTTGCATAACTGGCCTAAAGGAAGATCCAACTCCAGAGTATTTTCGACCATCCAATGGACTCCCTAGAAGTTCCTTATTAGGGATTAAGCTTTGATAGCTAGGTTGTGTCAGCCAGCTGGCCCACACCAAACAAGCCTAACCGCCAAGCAGATCTTTCCACCCTGAAACCGCCTAAGGTGAGTCGACAAGTTAGAAAGTAGTCAAAAGAAAGACTTATCTATGTAAAATACCAGTTTGAAAGAATGAGAAAAAAAAAATATTATCATCATTTTATGCACTTTTCTCTAGAAAGAGGAGAATCATTTTATGAATAAGATATGATTGATCACGACGTGTTATTATTGATTACTGTTCACACACACTCTCTCTCTCTCTTTTTCTCAATATCTTTTTGCTAACGCTCTACTCTATGTGTGTGATTGACAAAAAAATTAGGATTCAACATTCTAAAATGTGTTTTAAATTTGGATCATGCCTTAAATAAGAAAAGAAGTAGCTCAAGAAGAAGAAACATAAAAGAGACACTGAAAACATGGAGTGCATCAAAGAATTCATGACCCAATAGATTCAAAAGTTGAAGAATCAAATGTTGGATGTCATCTGAGATGTACTAACTTGGAGAAGAGATCAACAGCCCCTGGATGAAGGTTTGACGCCCAACAGTAAAAGGTTCCCCTGACCTTGAAAGGGAAAGACGACACCGAGTAATTCAATAGTGTTGAGTCGACACCAATTGATTGACATCTGATAGAACGTACTGAGGCACCCGACAACCTGATAATGTGTTTTCTTGGTAAATCTTGGAGGCTAAATCTCCAAATTGATTCAAAGTCCAGACATTAAAGTCATACAAAGGGCACAACGATCCAACCGACCACATAGTAATGTTTGAGTTGACTATGTGTCTGTTAAGGATCACTGCTGCATTGAAGTGTTGTCTTTTCTTCACAATACTAAGGGAGTTGTTCCTCAGGTGGTTCAATGGATTACTGCTTGAAGTAATCACATTGTTCACTGACTTCAAGTAATTGTTTTTTGTGATATTTTCCAATGCCCAAAAGCAGTTGAAAAACTCGCAGGCTCTTCTACAAATGTGATAGGAATAGAGCGAGAATCTGTACTTATTTATCACTCACTACCATAAAGAAATATTGGAAGTGGGGGCCATGTTGTTCATAGTCAGTCATGTGTTGACCTCACTTTTGGGTGAGGGTTTTGGGTTTTTCCTTTAGTGATTAGAATCTAGCCTTATGACTTTCCTAATAACTATATTAGCATCTTAGAAATGGTACCTACCTTCTCCTCAGACATTTCAACCAATTCTCTGTTCTCTATGTTGGTTCTATATGTGATCAATAATCTTAAATACAAAAATTAGATATAAGAGAACCCTGATGAGAATTCTTATATGACCTTTGGACTATAGGAAAGTCTTGCACTGCTCTACACCTTTTTTGGACTTCAATACATTGCATCATCATTTATAATCTTCATGATCATCATAAATATTGCATTTTCATATCGCAATGTTGCGATTATTACACTCATGAGCCAGACCACAATTATTTGAACACAGTTTTCCCTAAAAACCCCACTTGAATATTCTAATTCTTCAAAATTCCCCAAAACTGTTATTGAATCACAAAACTCACTTTAAACCATTTGATATTATCATTTAGACAATTTGAAACCCAAAAATTGTAAAAATACCCAATTTTCCAAAAAATTACCAAAATGCCCCTGGACCCCCAAAATATCAATTTTTTCAAAATCTCCCAGAGTCACCGATAAGTCCTAAAAATCACACAAAATCATTTCTTATGTCTTCCTGAGAATTTTGACTGTAATATTGTCATACTTATGGATAACTTCTTAACACTTCGACACCAAAATAACAGATACTTAAAAAAAAGTTTAGGGGATCATCAAACCTTCCACATTGATCAAAAATGACTCGGAACACACTCCAAATTTCTTCCAACCTTTTGATCACTTTGACCAAAGTTGGCCAAAATTACTAAAATGTCACTCATGGCCCAAAAATTCTCAAATCCTCCAAAATCATTTCAAACACCCCTAAAATCAACTCTTGACCATCCATTGAGTTGATTTGACCAAATT